CATTCAAAATTTCCACTTCCTCCCCTCCTCCCATTTCCCTCCCACTCCCCCACTCACCCTCCTCCCTCCCCCCTAGTCTTAAGAGAGGCCCTGTGGGAAGTCCAAGGCCCTTCCCCCTTCATCCAGGCCTACGAAAGTGTGCATCCAAATAGACTAGGGTCTCAAAAAGCCAGTACATGCAGTAGAGACAAATCCCAGTGCCATTATCATTAGCTTCTCAGTCGGGCCCCATTGTCAGTCACTTTCAGAGAGTATGGTTTGATCACATGTTCATTCAGTCCCAGTCCTTGGTGAGCTCCCATTAGAACAGGCACACTGACTCAGTGGATGGGTGCACCCCTCGCGGTCCTGACTTCCTTGCTCATCTTCTCCCTCCTTCTGCTCTTCAACTGAACCTTGGGAGCTCAGTCCAGTGATCCGATGTGTGTCTCTGTCTCTATCTCCATCCAACTAAATTATTTTTATAAAGAAAAGAAAAAGGTCCTTTTCTTTCCAGTGTTTTATTGCAAATGACTATAGAGTTTTTTGTCACTAGCTTTTCTGTGTCTATTCAACTGATTACATATAATTTTCTCCTTCATTGTGTTAATATGATGAGTCACACTGATTTTAAGCACATAAGGCAAGCTCTTAAAAACTGCACATTTCCCTCCTTCGTTAGCAAATCAGTGAATTTTGGTGCTACATTTTCTTATTCATACAACTTGAAATCAACTTAATTTCTTCTGTGTTTTCATCTTGAGCCTATATGTTGTTTACACATATACTGTTTAAAATTTAAATATTTGGAGATATTAGATGCTAACATAATACCTTGAAACTATATGCTGGCTAGTTTTGATATCAACTTGACACAAACTTGTATCATGTGTTATAGGGAACCTCAGTTGAGAAAATGTCCTCATCAGACTGGCCTGTAGGGCAGTTTCTTAATTAGTGATTGATGTGGGAGGGCCCAGATCACTGTGGGTGGTACCTTCTTTGAGCTGGTGGTTTTGGGTACTATATGAAAGAAGGCTGAGCAAGTGAGGAGGACTAAGCCAGGAAACAGCATTCCTCCTGGCCTCTGCATCAGCTCCTGCCCTGACTTCCATGAATGATGGACTACAAAGTGTAAGATGAAATAAACTCTTTCCTCCCTGAGCTGCTTTGGGTCATGGTGTTTTATCGCAGCAATGGAAACCCTAAGACACACTAAATGATTCCAATACCTTTAATCAAGATTTATTTCATAGCTTACCTGAGCTAATGGGAGCTCACCAACTCTGGCCTGACAGCGAGGGAACTAGCATAGAACCAATCTAGGCCCTCTGAATATCGGTGACAGTTGTGTGGCTGGGGCACAGCACTGGGGCAGTATGTGGGACCACTGGCAGTGAGACTAGGACTTATTCCTGCTGCTTGAACTGGCTTTTTGGAACCCATTCTCTTAGGAGGGATACCTTACTCAGTCTAGACATAGTGGGAAGGGCCTTGGTCCTGCCCCAAAGCAATGTGTTAGACTTTGTTGACTCCCCATGGGAAGCCTTACCCTCTCTGAGGAGTGGATGGCGAGTGGGATGGGGGGAGGTGAAGGGAGCAGGAGAAGGGGAGGGAGTAGGAACTGGAATTTATATGTAAAATGAGAAAAGATAGTTTTTTAAAAAAATTAATTAAAAAATATTTGTTTCATAAAATAGCACATGTTCTACCTAGTGAATGTTCTTTAAAGTCTTAAAAATAATTGTGTGTGGTACAATTGTTGAGAGTAGATTTTAAATACCTAATTATCAGTTCCGACTGTTGATTTAACAAATTGTTTTGATTACTAGTCATCTAAAGAATTCAATAATGATCTAAATAATTCAACTATTAGTGCAGCAAGCCTTTCAGAGGGGCAGAGCTTGGAGAACTTTGGCTTTCCATAGGTTTCAGAATGCCCAAATTTACAGATATAATTATGATTAAACTGTCCAATATTTGAAAGCCAAATTTCCCGATATTTGCCTAGTATTACACTGGTGTGTGAAAAATCTTTCTGCAATTAGAAATAAAGCTGCAAATAAATTATGCTTGCTAGCATTTAATGTGACCCAGTATTTCCACTGAGCACTACCGTCATCAGTCTTGGTTTCGCTTGATACATGAAACTTGGTACCAAGTAAATTATTCCTAGTCTGTTATATGTGTGGAAAGAACTGTGTACCATCACATGGAATTCAATACAAGGCAAAATCCAGCATTGCATATGAATTACATGCATATCAATCTTGTTATCTGTGTCCTATGTTTTTATAGTTAGGTAAATGTCACTAAGGATAAAAAATCTGTGAGAATATTGATATATAAAGAAATTTTTTCTTTCCCTTCTAAGGACAGGATTAACAGAAACACTAAGTTACATCTCATTGCTTCATGAAGTATTCACACTGACATCTGGGTGCAGACACTAGTGTACATGAGTGTGTGTGTGAATATATGTATATGTGCATGGAGGGGAAGCCATCCACACAGAAATAACATGTTCCTCAAATGGAATAAAAACATACATTGGTGAAGCAATCTTGGACAGTTGGACTAACATCATAAAAGCACATCCCCAGTATTACATTTAGAAGGACTGGTTAACTAGATACCACAGTATATGAAATCTCTCCAAGCTAGCAACCTTGTAAGAAGGTTAACACGTCTAAAATTTTTGATTCGCAAACACCATTTTATTGAAGAGAACATTAAACGCTAGCAAGCATAATTTATTTGCAGCTTTATTTCTAATTGCAGAAAGATTTTTCACACACCAGTGTAATACTAGACAAATATCAGGGAATTTTGGCTTTCAAATATTGGACAGTTTAATCATAATTATATCTGTAAATTTGGGCATTCTGAAACCTATGGGTACCCAATTAAAATCTGTAAACTATCTCCTCAAATCAGACCTTCTTTTCTTCTCTTTAGATTTTTCACCACCTAAATAAACATTGGATTAGCATCAAGGGCACACGGGTTACACTGCAGCGAGTTTTCACTGCGCCCTTGCATGTGTTCAGACACTCGCATGGCATATGCTTGAGCCCTTCAAATAACCTACAAAGGACTTTGGGGACAAACAGGTTATTACTTTAAAGATTCACTTTTTTTTAGACTTATTCATTTTATTTAATGTGCATGAGCGTTTTGTCTGCAAGTATGTAAGTGCATGTTTCACATGTGTTACTGGTGTCCAGAGAAGTCCAAAGAGGGCATTGAATCCCGGAACTGGAGTTAGAGATAACTGTGAGCCACCATGTTGGTCCTAAGAGTGAACCTGGATCTTCTGCAAGAACAATAATGACTCTCACTTACTGAACCACATCTCCAGCTCCAAGCTTGACACACACGCTCACCTTCCTTCAGGGTGGCTTTTAGTTCAAGTTAGTGACATTATGAAAACACAATTGTTTCATTTAATATATTTTGGAATAAGTATGGGGGCCTAGTTCGGTCTTTCAAGCAATGTCTTCCCACTGTTGGTTGGTACTCTCCCAATTAAACAACATGTGGGAAGAACCATGGCTGCCCTTGTTGCTACATAAGGTCAAATGTATAAGAACTGGGTGATAAGCTCAAATGTCAATATTTAAACTGATAAAGAGAATTATGGTTCTCTTGTAAAATGTCAAAGCAAAGACCCTGACACTTGGTGTGCATTAGATATGTGATTAATAAATGACTTAAACAACCAAATGGAATGTGGTCTGACACATTACGAAAGCCCAGTGACCAACTAAATCACCTGAGCCCTAAGCAAATAACACATCTGCATAGCCTCCGAGTGTCTCACAGCCTGTTCCACTCAACAACAGTTAGCCAGCTTTTCGGCAGGCTCTGTAAGCATGGCTGAAGCAAAGAAGATGAAAGGCATTCCTGTGATCTTGGCTGCTGAAGACTGTAAGGAAGACACAGACGTAACAGACACGTGGACTCGCTACCCACGTGCACCAGCCTGAGGACACGGTAGCCATTGATTGCAAACACTCCTACCATTGACCCTAAGAATCCTCACGGGAAAGTTTCTCCCTCAGAAGTCTTCTGAAGCACTCTGCTTTCAGTCGGCTAGGGCCTTATTTCACTCAGACTGTGAAGTTGTAAAGAAAACCCACATGTTACAAGCTTGACAACTTTCCTAACTGCCTGTTGATGGCCACGAAAAGAATTCACTCCCTGCTTCAGTGACAAATGTGAAAGCTTCAGCAAGTCTTCTCTGAAAGACCAATAAAGGGGATCAATCTGTGACGGGAAAAACAAGCAAACGAAAACCAAAGGATGAATTTGTGGAACCCAAAGGTTTCATTTTTATTTGAAAAAGAAAAATTACAGCATGAAATGTACAGAATAGAGCACAACTAATTTGCTACATGAATTATAAGCATAAATTGAGAAAAAGAAACAAGCATGAAAATATTACATTTTAAATGCAATTCTTTGTAAACTACTATCAGGAAAAGTTCATCTTGGCACATAGAAAAGGCAATAGCCCTGAAGAGAATTTACTAATGCCCCTCATCCGCCCCAGGACTTCTGACTCTGCATTATCTTGTGCGGTTAAAAGGAGCGCTAGGTCTAAAAAGCGAATTAAATCATAAGTTGTGCTTCCCTTGGCCTTAACTACTCTACAGCCCTACATTTAACTTAATTCATAATAAGCTAAATAATCGAAGGCACGCTGATTGCATTTGGTTACAAAGTAGACAGAGAAGAAACAATTTTCAAGTCAAAAGTATTCTGAGATGACATTTTATCCAGCACAATGTGTTATCCACTGACTGCAGAATTTGAGGAATAAAGAATACTACAAGGAAAATGTTTTTAAAGTAAAAGAAAAGAAAGAAGTATATGCTGTTGCTTCTTTGCATGTTCAAACAAATAAACCTGAAAAAAAAAATCCCCATCATTTGGGCTGAAAGTCTTTTGGGTGGTGTTTCCACATGGGCTGAGAAGCAGGCTGCAAGATCTACTTGCCAGTTGACATAGTAGCTTCTTTACATCAGCAGAGTCACCTCCGACACGGCTCTCTGTAATAGAAGTGGAACCCATTATTTCTCAGGGTGTTTGTTTCTCTGTGTGTGTATGTGCATGTGTGTGCATGCATGCGTGCGTGCGTGTGTCTTTCTGAAGCAGGGTCCTACTATGTAGCTCAGGCTGGCTTGGAACTAACTATATAGCCCAGATTAGCCTCAAGCTCCCAAACCTCTCGCTTTAGCCTTCTCAGTGCTGGGATTATGGGCACACACCAGTAAAAGGGGCTTGCATCTCGATTCCCGTGTTTGTAAAGTGAAGTCAAATGAACAGCTCCTTTCAGTTTCTGTATGTGTGTTCATATTGTGTGCATGTCCGTGTGGGTGGATTGCAAGTGTATGGATATAGGCCAGCATGTATATGTGTGCCCATGCATGCAGAGGCTAGAGGACATCGGGTATCATCCTTAAGAACATCATCCACAAAAAAAAATAAAATAAAAATAAAAAAGAACATCATCCACCCTCTATGAGACACAGTCTCTCATAACTTCTTTTAAACTTTAAGGTGCAGGTGTTGTGGACTGCACTGCATTGCTCTTGTGTAGGGTTTCCTGGGTAGCATGACTCAGGAAGGTATTCAAAGAGGAACTCTAATAGGTTTTCCTGAATTCCCAACACCTGTGATGAAAGCATTAGTCAATTTTGCAGACTCACTTTATTTTCTGACTCCAAAACTAGATAAATAATGCTAGAAGGCCTGGTTCTGACAAGCCTTCTAGACACACACAGGCAGTGTTCAAATACCAAACGGTTTCCTCTGATTGCTCATATCTGACCAACTAATCCAATCGAATTCATCTAGCAATGATATAAACTAAGGAAGTTTCACTTATTACTATAACTGATATAAACCTGTAGGTTTCAAATTACAGGAAGTAAACCATTTAGGGTTTGTTTCTGAGAGCCATTCAATAGGTCTGGAAAGTCAGGTTTACATACGGATATTACTTGCCTCTTGTACTCTCATTCTCAAATGTATGCAGGAGTTTTGTACAGTTTATCTGATCTATGATAGTAGAAAAAAATTGGATTCAAAATTACATGAGAATCAGGACATCTTTTTTAGTGTTTTGTTTTGTTGACACAGGGTCTCTCTGTGTAGCCCTAGCTATCCTGGAACTCAACTTTGTAGAGCAGGCAGGTTCTGAACTCAAAGAGTTCTGGGATTAAAAGTATGTGCCACCAGGCCCAGCTCAGGATAACTTTAAATAAACCAGATGTTAAAGATATTTAAAAGAGTGCTTTATTTCTCACTATTTTCTAACTTAAAAAAAAATCAGCCAGCCAGGCGGTGGTGGCACACGCCTTTAATCCCAGCACTCAGGAGGCAGAGGCAGGCGGATCTCTGGGAGTTCGAGACCAGCCTGGTCTACAAGAGCTAGTTCCAGGACAGCCACCAAAGCTACAGAGAAACCCTGTCTAGAAAAAACAAAAAAGTAGGCCAAGTGGTGGTGGTGCATGCCTTTAATCCCAGAACTCAGGGGTCAAAGGCAGGTGGATCTCTGTGAATTCCAGCTCAGTGTGGTCTACAGAATGAGTTCTAGGACAGCCATGGGGTGTCACACAGAAACCATTTCAAAAAGAAAAAAGAGAAAGTCACTTTATAATAAAAATGATATTTACTCAAAATTCTAATAGATTTCTTAATTTAAATCTTTGTTATTTCTCATTTTAATATATAATAAAATATATTTTCAACAGATAAAGCTTGCATAAGAAAATAAAAGTCCTTCTTTAAAAGATGCATGTGTATTATATATACCTATGGCCCTTGAAAGCCAGAAGAGGGCATACAATCCTCTAGAATTGGAGTTACAGATGGTTGTGAGCTGCCACATGAGTGTTGGACATTAAACCCACGTCCTCCATAAGAGAAGCCACTGTTCTCAGCTGCTAAGCCATCTCTCCAGTCACTTAAAGATTGAAGTTCTCAATCTCAATATTTTAAGAACATAAAGCATTCGATCATTCAAAATATGAGCACTGCAAATACAATTTTGACAAATTTCCTTCTAGCCCTTAATTTCTTCCTCTGTAAATTATAACTTAAAAAGTTTAGTCTTTCTCACACTAATACTGTTAATATTGAGAAATTATTGTGTAAAGTAATTTCTAAAGTATATTTAAAACTTCATTACATCTGTGTTTATACCTCATACTTAAGTAGAAAACACAGCTCTGAACAAAATTACACGGAAATACATATACAAACATACAAAAGTACATGGAAAACTGGTGACATCTGAGTAAAGTTAGCACTAATGTCAATTCCTAAGATTTGGTATCATCCTCTAATTATAGAAGATAACTAGGTGGAGGGAACACAGACATTTCAGTAGTTTTTTGTTAGCTTCTTCTGAATTTATAATTTCAAATATTAAGCTTAAAAGAAAATTCCATATGCACAGAAAGGTGTAATGAAATAAACATCTTACTTTTTAAAAAATCTAAAATTGAGAGGATCATGAAATCACATACTTGACAGCCTAAGGCAGGAGGCCAGCCTGGGCTACCACAGAGAGCTCCAGAGTGGAAAAAAAATTAAAAATAACAATTGGAAAACTGATTATTTAACATCAGTAATGTCCTGTGTGTAATTGCGATGTATTCTACATAAAGAGAAGTGACTAGTGAATCTTTATAGGACTCACCTCAAATCATTTCATTTAGATATAGAATATACTCAATAATCCTCAAGGATTCTGACAAAAGTTGTTCTTTATGTGTCCTATCTGTTTCATCAGTAAAACTGCCTCTGTAATTTTGATGTAGTATGTTATACTAACCATTTGTGGCCGATCTTCTTCATTGTCATTGTAACTAGGGTAGAAATAGTTGGCTGAACATTCCGCAGATGCTCCAAGACCTTCTGCAGATGGTGACACCTGAGTCCAAGCTACAAGAAAAATGACAGGTATATCAGTTACTTAAAAGATCTGGTTCTCCACCACAGGAGAAGCAAGCTCACTGTTATAGTTAAAGCTGTGGTCTTCAACAGGCCAATAGTACACACAGTCTTGCTCTACAAAACAAAACTGCACATAGGTTGTACTAGTTTTTAATTTGACATTTCAGAAAAGATTTGGACTACATTATACTTCTTCAAAATTTCAGAATGGTAGGAAGTTGAGGATGATGGACATTATTAAAAGTAATGTTAAGCCAGGTGGTGGTAACACATGCCTTTAATCCCAACTTGGGAGGCAGAGGTAAGTGGATCTTTGTTAGTTCAAGACCAGCCTGGTCTAGAAGTGAGTTCCAGGATAGTCAGAGCTACACACAGAGATACCCTGTGAAAAAAAAAGTAATGCTAAACATTTTCAAAATATATTGTTTTTCTTACCTCCACACACACGAAAAAAATGATTCTAAATGTTCTTTCTATAATATTTATATTTATCCCATTCAAATAGTACTTGTTAGGTTCCACCTGGTGTTGCTATTATTTTGTCTTGGATCCTCTCTTAGTAAGCAGAGATCATACATTACATATTCTATGCCTTATAAGAGCCTGCATGTAGCCAGGTGTGCACACCTTTGATCCCAGCATGCAGAAAGCAGAGGCAGGTAGATCTCTACAAGTCCAAGGCTAGCATGGTAGGTTCCAGGCCAGCCTGTACTACATACTAAGACCATGTATCCCCTTGCCAAAACAATGAGATGACAGGCAGGAGATATGAGGTTTATTTCTTCCTACCTTTATTTCTTTCTTCCTTCCTTTTTTTTTCTTTAGACTTGAACTGCTTGAGATGAAGTAATTTGTGATAGTTTAAACTGTCAATTTGACACAACCTGGAATCACATGAGAAGACAATCTCAGTGAGGGATTGGCTAGATGATGTTGGCCTGTGAACAAGTGTTGACTGAGGTTTCTGTCCTACCCAATCTTCCAGCCATTCAGTCCCAAAGAAAACATACAGAGGTCTACATTAATCATAAACTAATTGGCCTCGTATCTCAGGCTCTTATTAACTAATTCTTACATCTTATATTATTAACCCATTATTTTTGTCTGTGTTAGCCACATGGCTTGGTACTTTTGTCAGCGAGGGATTCTCATCTTGTTTCCTCTCTGTCTGAGTGATGACTGTAGACTGAATCTTTCCTCTTCCCAGAATTCTCCTGTTCTCATTCCCCTGCCTCTACTTCCTGCCTGGCTACTGACCAATCAGCATTTACTTAAAATACAAGTGACAGGGTACAGACCATTGTCCCACAGCATGTCCCCCCACTTTTTTTTAAACAAGAACTCTGAATCAAATATCATTTTTTTATCTTTTTGTCCAGACCATTATTCATCATATCTTGTAACCAACACTCTAAACAAAGATAAATATCTATAATCCATTTTGTGGGAATGTGGGTGTAATTTTTGGGGATACTTCCTGCTGATTGGAAGCACTGATAATCTTATGGGGACCTAAAGAAAATTTAAGATTATGGCCAAGTCCTGACTGGAAAATTCTGTGAGACTGTGAGAAGTGCTGTGGGACAATTGTCTGTACCCTGGCACTTGTATTTTAAATAAACACTGATTGGCCAGTAGCCAGGCAGGAAGTAGAGCTAGGACAATGAGAAAAAGAGAATTCTGGGAAGAGGAAATAGTCAGTCTGCAGTTGTCACCCAGACACAGAGGAAGCAAGATGAAAATGTCTCACTGATGAAAAGTACCAATCCACATGGCTAATACAGACAAGAATTATGGGCTAATATAAGTTATAAGAGTTATAAGGAGCCTGAGCTAATAGACCAATCAGTTTAAGATTAATGTAGGCCTCTATGTGTTTATTTTGGATTAAACAGGTGTGGGACTTGGTGGGAGAGAAGTCTCTGTCCACAGACAAGCCTGTGGGGGTGACTTTAATTGATATAGTAAGACCTAGCCTGAAAGTGGACAGCATCATTTCTTTATAAGCATAAAGAAAACTATCTAAGGAAACTATTAATGCAAGCAAACAGCATGAATACATTTATTTCTCTTTGCTTCATGACTGTGAACGTGAAGCTGCTTCAGGCTCCTACAGCTGTGACTTCCCTGCTCTGATAGACTGTAACCTGTAATAGACAAGCTCCCTCAACTGGTTTTGTCAGGGTATGCTCCTACAGCACCAGAAAAAAAAACTAAGACAAAATCTAAGTCACACATTTACAGACTCCCATCTCAGCCACAGTCAACTATTCATGTCACCTTGGAAATATTATGTGACCTTCTCTGATGTGGTTTCCATATCTGTCAAATGAAGGTATTGGATACTAGGTTCTCTCTTTGTTTCTGGGGCTGGGAGTCACAACATAATGATCTGAGGGAAACAACCTCTAAATGGATAACTAAAAACTGAACATGGTCATCATTACTTTTTCCTCCTCAACTAGTGGGATTAAAGACTACTATATTAAGTCCTGAGTATTTGGCATTTCTCAGGGAGTCCATGCTACTGTTTCCAAAGCTATTTAGGGAATCTCGTATGCTTGTATAGTACCTTATACCTCCCTATTATGATACTTACCACATTCCATTTTAATCGCTTACTGAATAATCTCCCTTCCTAACATTGTAAAGATGGCAGATATGTGTGTTTTAATTAGACTTCAAATGCAACTCTACAAAATTCCTGATGCACTGATTAGATGAATCAAATGCATTATGTACCATCATTTCAAATATCATAATTCTCATAAGAAAACAAATTTTCCAGCTCTAGTCACAAAGCCAATGGTAAATAAACAGTATATCCACTGAAGGCAATATCTGTGTTGCATTCATTCCTGTCCTCTATTGCAAGAGTTCTAAAACTTGAACACAGATGAGCATTATATAGAAAGTTGGTCAAAATTCAGGTAGCTGGGCTTCACACCCAAAGTTTCTGCTTCAGAAGATCTGAAGTAGAAAGAGCCAATAAAACCTTCCTCTATAAAACAAGTTTCCCAGGTGATATTAATGTTACTGGGCCAAGGATCACAATTTGACAAACAGTGCTCTGCAGTTTCCATAAGAGTGTTTTTTTGTGTGTAAGAAATGAAAGTCTTCTAAAACAGACTAACTCGGGGCTGGAGAGATGGCTCAGTGGTTAAGAGCACTGACTGCTCTTCCAGAGGTCCTGAGTTCAATTCCCAGCAAGCACATGGTGGCTCACAGTCATCTATAATGAGACCTGGAGCCCCCTTCTGGCTTGTGGGGCACACATGGAAGGAATGCTGTACACATAATCAATAAAAAAATATTTAAAAAATATTTAAAAAAACAGGCTAACTCTCTTTTCTTTATACAAAAATAACACATGACTAGATTCTTTGCACATTAGCAGCAGAAGTTAAAACTCACATAGTTATTGAATCTTTTCTTCAGATAACCAAGACACATACCTGTGCAATTTACTTGTGCTTGAACTGGCACAACTGCCTTCCTGACCTCCACCATGCCACTGGCTTGTTCTACCTATTTTTCCACTTCCACAGCATTTAGAAGAGCTTCCTCTTGCTTTCTGAAACAGCCACTATAAAAATAGGTGAGCTTTTGCATAGTCTAAGAATAGCAAAACTTAAAATGTTCTATCTTTGATATTGTGCTAACAATAAGCTGAAAATCCATTCCAATAGCTGATGTGCCCTTATTTAAATATGTATAATAGTTAATATAAAGGGACTGGAGAGATGACTCAGAGGTTAAGAGCATTGCCTGCTCTTCCAAAGGTCCTGAGTTCAATTCCCAGCAACCACATGGTGGCTCACAATCATCTGTTATGAGGTCTGGTGCCCTCTTCTGGCCTGCAGGCATACACACAGACAGAATATTGTATACATAATAAATAATAAATAATTATTTAAAAAAATAGTTAATATGAAACAGTTTCAAGAGCTTAAGTCCGAGGATTCAAGCCAGCACACCCCTTTTATGCAAACTTAATATTGCTCCCTTCTAGACCCAAGACATGTATGTGTACAACCTGTATTGCTCTGAAGACTTTTCACCTTAATGTGTTGATGTAGAATGCCCTTCTGCATGCTATAAATATGTTTTATTACCATTGGTTAATAAAGAAACCACTTTGACCTATGGCAGAGCAGAATATAGCTAAGCGGTAAATGCAAACAGATATGGGAAGACAGAAGGTGGAGTCAGGGAGATGCCATCAGCTGCCAGGAAAGCAAGATGTGATGCAATAAACCACAAGCCTTGTGTTAAAATATAGAATAATAGAAATGGGTTCATTTAAATTGTAAAAGCTAGTTAATAATAAGTGTAAGCTAAAAGGCCAAACAGTTTGTAATTAACATTAAGCCTCTGAGTGGTTATTCAGGAAGTGGTGGATGGGTGAGAAACTTCCAGTTAGAATGTGTCAGGGAAGGTACATATAAATGTGTAGAAGAAATTTTATCCTGATTCACACTGTTAAGTTTTCACCAGCTACTGTTACAGCAACTACTTCATACAACAAAGTCTTCACTTCTTTGTTTGAATGTTACAAACCCTGCCAGAAAAAGACCTTCAGAGTTGATCCCGATGAAAATCATGTGCTGTCTTAGATTTTAGAGACCTCTGGGAGATAAGTGTGACAAAGGAAAAAAAAAACAGTATATGTCATAAGTCATTCAGTGTTTCCAGTACCATGCAACTAGTGTAGCTCAGTGAACTCTATTGGGGCTTTGAAAATGGCATGGAAAAATCTCTGTGTACACTCAGATGCAAAGAGTGCATCTTTTAAGATTGTTAAAGGCAGAATGTCAAGATAGAGTTTTAAAGCAGCAGTGCTGAGCTGCCATGTACGACTGCTACCATCCTGAAGAACTTCAGGCTAACTTCATTACCTAGATCTATGCCTTAACTATGTACAAAACATATCTAAATCACCACCAAGGGTTCTTCATTAAGGGTCTACACAATGTGAACCCGTCCTTTATTGTTGTTCTCATACTGTTTCCCCCAAAGACTGAAAGTAAGTAAAAGTACCCCAAAGAGAAAGTCATGAATGAGAACCACTACATTGACCGTCAGTCTGAATGCAATTCTTTGCAAGATCAATTGCAAAGTACTTAAGTATTTTAAAAACAGCTTTGCAATTTATAGGGACTGTTGGTCACTGTGTGACCCCAATACATGGCTTAGATATGAGAAAACAGTGTGGTTTCATTATCTGATGAGTTATTGCTAACACAGAAGGCTGGTTGTTATAATTACATTGTTTGGTATGTCTGGGAGCTGAAGAGATTGCTCAGTGATTGGGAACAACTGAGACCTTTGCAGAGGACCCAGGTTCAGTTCCCAGCATCTACACAGTGGTTAGGAACTGTCTGTAACTTCAGTGTCCAACACCTCTTTGAACCTCCCTGAACCAGGCAAACATGTAGTACACGTTTGTACATGTAGGCAAAATATTCATACACATAAAGAGAAATAAATAAATCTAAATAAATTTAAAGAATTATGTTTCTGAGTGAAATGATCACTTACTCAGCTTTCTGCTGCTGAAGAGAAAGTTCATCCGGTTCTCTTGGCTGATCCAGCTGTTTCATAGCTGAACAATAAAACATCTGTCATTTATAAGTCATGTTTCTTACTTCTTTGAAGGATGACTTTCACATACACCGCAGAGGGTGGAGAAAAGAGAGAGTGAGATAGAGAGAGAGATGGAAACACACACACACACACACACACACACCCCATTTTCAGGTATTTGAAATGACCAACAAACAAGAAGACCCATCTAAAGTTATCTGTAGAGTCCAAACTGTGTATTTGGATACAAACTAAGGGTTGGGGTGACACGCAGTTTCTACACAAGAATGAGGGCCTGCATTTGAATCTAAAACTGACAAAAAAAACCAGGGCTCAATAGCACATGTCTGTTGATGTGGGATGCCTTTTTGTATGCTGTGAATATATTTTATTACTATTGGTTAATAAAGAAGTTCATTTGGCCAACAGCCAGGCAAAATAGAGCCAGGCAGGAAATCCAAGCAAACATAAAGAGAGATGAAGGGCAGAGTCAGGGAGTAGCCAGCTGACACCCGGGAAGCAAGATGTGAGGTAACAAGCCACAAGCTTTGTTGTAAAATATAGAATAATAGAAATGGGGTTAATTTAAGTTGTAAGAGCTAGTTAATAATAAGCCTGAGATAATAGGCCAAACAGTTTGTAATTAATATTAAGTCTCAGTGGTAATTTGGGAACTGGCAGACAGACGAGAAACCTCTACTTACAATCTTTACTCCCAGCACTCACAGGAGGTAAAGTCAGAATTCCCAGAAGCTCCAGGGCTAGTTAGCCTGTCTTATGCAGCAGTGAAGAATGAAAAAAGGGCCTGCCTCAAAGAAGGTATAATGCAACTGGTCTTCTGATCTCCACATGCTCGCTGTGGCACAAGCACATATGAGCATGCATGCACACACACACACACACACATCTATAGTCACATACACAAGTATGTACATCTACATCATACACACAAGCAGAGACTCTTTTTTGTAAGTACAAGTTCAAAAGTGTAAACAATTCTTCATCCCAAACTTTCTGAATACTGGTTCTGTGAGGTTCGCCCCCCAGGAAGGACTAGAATTTGATACTTTGTTGATCTCAACTGGTTCTGAAGCACCGAGGCTCACCTTAGAATTTAAATTAGCAGTTGGTTTTTTTTTAAAAAAGCTTTCTGAATCTCAATGTCACATTTTTATTGTAGTTTAATAAATCCCTTCATTATTATCAAATAATCAGCCCCATTCCCAGGAAGCCTTTTCATAAAACCCAACTAGTGGGTTGTCATTGTGCTTCTCCATATAAAGCATGGATGCCTGAAATTACCAGTCAAAGGGAATGATACAGATGGAAAAGGAGGTAGAGAGGAACTGGGAGGAGTAGAGGGAGGCAAAATTATAATCAAGATATATTATTTGAGAAAAAAATTCTATTTTCAATTAAAAAAATGAAATTACCAGTCAAACATTCTTGCTGCTTCAACAAAATGTTCCTTATTTCTTTTAACCATAGCATCTTCACATCAATATTTGGAGCCTAAAAATTAAAGCAGAAGGAAAAAGTATGTTTCCTTTTGAAAAGAATGTTTTTATAATAATGAAAAATGTAATCAAACATGAGTCACTCTATGAAATACCAGGTTCAAATTCTAGCCTTTTAATTCTTAAAGCATTTAAGAGGCTAATCACTAGCAATCTGATTAGATATTATAATCAAAATCATTTTAAAATTGCCGTAAAGAGTATAACAACTGGAAGAAATACAGAGATCCTTTTAGCTACTGTTGCTTCACTGGAGGATCACACACACACACACCACTTTGTTTCAATTTTAGTAAAAACAAAGCAAGCTCTAGTATTTCCACAGTTAAAATTAATTACATAATCATCTTAAAAACTTATACTTACATGATGGATTTCCTAAATGCTTTCCATTGCTTATAAGGTAAGTCTGTTATATGGTACCAACTCATAACTTAAAGTAAACCAAGAAGGGTTTATGTACTGCTATCAATACAAAATAAAAAAAAACTGAACATCTGTAACAGCTAATAACATATGGGTCAGCCACAAGTCGTGACACAGAGACTTAGTGAAAATAACACAGCACTATCTTGAAACGTCTTGAATCTACTCCCCTCCCTGAAACAGGGTGGGCCTCAGAGCACACCTGCCCAGGATCTTGACTATGTTCTGTCAAAAGAAGGAATACATCCAAACAGTCATATCTTTAAGTCTTTAAATGCTGAAGACAAAGGAAACTCAAGGCTAACTGTAGAAACTTCATAGATGCAAAAAAAGTAGCAGCCAAACTTGAAAGGAATGAGATTTTATAAAAGGTAACCAACATTTTTTTACCAACTCAGATTTTTAAATCATTTTTAAACTATCTATTTATTTACTTTTATTCAGTATGTATGGATGGCTTGCCTACATGTATGTTAAGCACACCACATGCTTTCAACGCGCATGGAAACCAGAAGGAGTCAAATTCCCATAGATTGTTGTAAGCCACCTATCATGAGTGTTGGAAATCAAACAGAGTCTTTTTTTTTCTTAATGTTGGTGCTGGAGAGATGATGGCTCTGTGGTTAATAACATGCACTGTTATTGCAGAGGACCAGACCTTGATACCCAGCACCCATTCGGGAGAGCAAACAATGAACTCCAGCTCCAGCGGATCCATTGCTCTCTACTGGCTTCATAAAGCACTGCACAAATTCCCAGAGACACAGACAGACAGAGAGACATACACACACACCTAAAATCCTTAGCATGAATGTTATGAAGGTAACCAACTGCTTCCAGTTAGATTTAAGGTCTGCTCCACTAGAGAAAACACAGGCCTAGTATTGCAAAGTTGGTTAAGAACCTTGGTTGGTGAGCTCATAAGCTCCACATGTGAACCTACTAATATTATTTTGTTAAATAGGTATAATATCAAACTGCCCTCTAAATTAACATCTACCTGAGCAAAACTCTCCGAGCTCATCAGACAAGTTGATTTGTGCAGTGTTTGAAGGTTAACAAAGAAGCTTAGAACTGTTTAAAGTGTAGAGACTGAGTATGGCGTGTTCATTCATAAATGGCCTCTTCTATATCACACCCCACACACACGAGGCTCAGAAACCACCACAGGAGAAGGGACAGAAAAAAAATTTAAGATCCCGAGGTTTGGGAGGATGAAAGCAAACCAGTATCTTCTGGATGTGATGGGACCACTGCATTCAGGAAATGATGGCAGCTATGGATGCCCAGGACCTCAAAAGACCAAGTCAATCAACATTCCAATGCAAAGTGCTGGGAAGGAAGGGATTCAGAGTTCCCACTACTAAGTAAAGAGTAATAGATGATTCCTGGCTTCTGGGGTAAAGAGAATCAGTTTTCTTTAATAGTGAGACTCCTGGTAGGTTTAACATTCTCCAGTGGATTCTTCTACACCCAGAAATATATAGATAATACAAATTGAAGATGATGGGTTAATAAATTAAATAAAAATTTGTCATTTTAATGATGATTATGGTTTTCAGAAGAATAACCAACCTGAACAATGTAAATTTCTTCCTTCTCACCATACCATATTTCAAATTTGCGGTTATCGCCTTTCACGTGTTCTGTGATTCCAACTTCTTCCATCTACAACAAACCAAATTGTTCTTGATCATTGGATTACAAATATGAAATTACATTCATCATGCTCTGTCATAATCTCTGGGAACAGAATGTCTCACGTAAGCAAAATACACATTTTATTTTCAATGAGCAGAAAAAGGGAAGTATAGCCATAGGCATGATGACTTAAGAGTTTTTGTGGAAATATGCACTCAGAGTTCAGATACCACGTTCCATTCCAGTGGATGATATAAATGGCATACATCTGAATATCCAGGTTGCCTATCAAAGGTTGAATTCTGCTGGAAATTAACTATACGGTAGTAAAACAGAATTTTGTCAAATGTATAAGTTCTTAAACATCAATGGGAAAAGCCACTTGAACTTGATTAATTTCAATGTTTTTTGAAGTAATTATTGACCAGATCAATTTGATCTGACAAGTTTATCCCCTATGACTTATAAGTAGTAAATTTATGGGTTAGGGAAGAGTTCCCAGAAGTTTTTCAATTCCCCCCAATCCCTCAGCCTCTAGAGCAAAGAAAATACCTAACTTTAATGAGAACCTTCTCAGGGCAGTAAAACTTGTGTTGTATGAAGTATTTCTTCCCACCACTCTCTTCTCACCGTGGTTTCTGCTTTGCAAAATTGTCTTTCACCATTTGCTGCTAACCTTGCCTAATTCCATGGGGGACAACTTCAGTCCCTTGTGTAACTTTTCTTTAAGCTGTTCTCTGCCTTTCCTCTTTTCTTTCAACTCCTTCCTAATTGTCTACAGGAATATCACACTCCATTACACTTACGAACCCCCGAAATGACCCAAATTAAAACTAATAAACATTAAGGGTAGTGCTCATAAGATTCCTGCATTAAGGTAAAGAAAAATAATTATACTTAGAAATGAAACTTAGCTATGTTAGTTTAAGAGCCTCTGACATCCACCTTGAATACAGTCTGAAGTGACTTTCAAATGCTCCCAAATATAGCCTTCCTGCGCCACTCTATCTCTGCTTGAATATTTCAATATAAGACTACTTGGATCCTACTGTTTTCCAAAAGTAATTATGTTTCATCACATAACTGTCTCAATGGGATGATAGGTAGCAGACAAACAGACTTCCAAGTCAAAGAAAACAGACTGGACCTCCATCCATCACTAACATTCATCAGCTATGTGTCTTAATGTAAGGTGATGAATTTTCCCCAAATTCCCTTATTTCAACCATAAATTTGGTAAATCGTGTATTTCATAGAGTTGATACAGAGATATAAGTAGTAAACGGTATGTTCAGATCATATAAGTTTTTGTGGAGGTATGTGCATGTGGGTATGCATGTTCACATATACATGGGTACATATATACATATGTGAAGGTCAGAGGTTCATGTCAGGCATCTTCCACAATAGGTCTTCACCTTATTTATTGATGCAGGGTCTCCTGTTGAACCCAGAGTTCATCTGATCCAGCTAATCTAACTAGCCAGCTTGCTTTGAAGATCCCCTAGAGCTGAGATTACAAGGGGCAGCCACACCCACTAGTGATCTGAACTCCAGTCCTTATACTTGAATGACAAGCTCTTTACCCTTCCCTCCAGTTCATAATGAGCTTTGAATGTATGGCTTTGCCTCCCGTCCTTTTCTGTATTTGAATGGCAACTGTTTTACTATTTCCCATTGCTAAAATATATAACACATCATTATTTAATACATGTGGGTATTTCCTAGGAAATCAAACCATTTTTATCTGACACAAAGTTAGCACTGTTGTGTGGTCAGTGTAAACAACAGTTGATGATAATAAGCAAGTACACAATCTGATGGATCTGAGGAAGCGATGTCTCTAGCTGGTTACCTGTGACCTGACATATGGCTTTTCTGTGGATGTTAAGTGCTTGCATTAGAGTACATAGTCATTAGAAAGACATGAGCAGGCTGTGTGGTTCCAGCTTGCTGTTATGCAGTCAAAAAATACATTTCAGGGGAGAGAAGTTGTTCAGCTATGCTTAGCAGCACACTGACCAGTAATGATGGACTCTCATGAGAAACAGCTGGAAGAAGCAAGCATAATGAGACCTAAGAAACAGTCTAACTTCTGTCTTTCTTAGTCTACAGCATCACCCTTTTCCCAGGAATCTTTATCTAAAATTTTGCAAGCACCACTGTCTAGTTCTTTTCAATTAAAGATACAATTATATCAAAAAACAAAAGAAAAACCGGACAGATTTTCTTCTTTTAAATGTCAAGTACTATTTATTTTCTATATCTGGTAAGTCACTAAGCCCTTATGTCTGCCTTCCATTGAAATGGTTCTTGCATCAATTCCTCCTTCTGTTTCCATGGCAACTATTGTAACCCTTCTGGCTTCATTACCTCATTAGTCCTTCTCTACTTTAATTATCTTCAGAAACACTCTGTTGTTGACATGTCTATCATTGTATCAAATTTCAAATAAAATAGGAAATCAATGCAAATAAGAAATTCTACAGTAAGTAGTTACTAGATGACCTCACAAACAGAATGTGAATCAAATTGGTTTATGTAAAACATGCCTACAAAGGAGAAGTACCTTTTCAAGGAGTACACATACAGATGGCAAGATCTAAAACCTGTCACAAAGATATCACAATGTCTTGGTTCTCAATTGATGTTTATTAAAGTCATAAGTACATCAGATATGTAGACTTAGAGGTGGACTATATTAAAAGAGTAATTGAGTACTTGTGATAAAAATGACTGGAGTTTTGAAGAATCTGTGGAGCTACTATGGATTCAAAATTGAATACAAAACGGACAATGGGAACCATTCAGGGAGGTGATTCTAGGTAGGAATTTTGCGAGATACAGCTAGAGGCAGCTGGCCAGTCTGAGGAAAAACAAAAGTAGGTAGGGCCTGCTTATCAGGTGGCCTCCTTAAACTATGTCCTCAAGCCCGTGACAGGTCCAGCCACATAATCATTGCTAAATTTCCATCAGCCCTCAACTATACTGGGAAAGCTAGCTGAGAAAGAAAACTCAGAAAAAATGATTCAAAGGACCGTGACTAGAGAATTGAAGGTAAGAATGTTCCATCTTCCAATCATTCCATAAAAAAATGTGTTGCTTTTAGAATTTAAACTTGAAAGATAAAATTCATTAGGTTTGAAATAACCAAATTTGCCAGCTAGTGCCTCAGGTTGATTAGAAGTACTCCTGGGCCGCTAATGACTTTCACAAACAACCGTCTCTTAATTTTAACACAAGACTAATATACAGTAGTAGCTTGGGTTCTAGACAGAATAAAATAGTTTCAAAGAATAGCACAGAATACATATATTAGGAAGGTCCAACTATAGGTAGGGTAATCAGAAAGCATGGGGCTAAGGAATGGAGGAGGAACAAAGACAGGAGGGTAGGAGTACGCTAAGCACAAGAGTTCTCCATTTTTTAAACCGCAGTGAGGAGGAGGAGGAAACCCTTTGCTTCTTGTTTCTCTTATAACAAAAGCTTCTTGGTAATGAGACCAAGAATTTTATCCGGGACGATTGGAAGAGTGCTCACAGGTGAGCTGGGGCAGAAAGGGCACCTTGGAGAACATCTGAGACGACAGTGATGGGGAGTTGAATCAAAGCTGTAAACCTGGACCCAACCGCTTGTCCTGATTTCAGACTCCCAAAACCCATGTTCAGCTAGATGTGGTAGTACATGCTTGTGATCCTAGTGTTCCCATGGCAAGAAAGGAGGTGGAGACAGGAGACCCCCTGGAAGCTCTTGGGATAACAAGACTGGTGTGCATAGCAATGATCAACAGGACACCTTGCTTCAAACAAGGTAGAAGGGGAGGACCAACACCTGAAATGTCCTATGACCTCCAAAGTTGACCTGTAGTATATACGTGTCTGAGCTCACACATGAACACACATGCATTGTTTTGTTTTGTTGATTCTTTTAACCAGAGGGATGAGTAACTAAAGTATAAAACCTACTTAAGTTAAAAAAAAGTATTCAAGGTAGAATACATATAAGATAATATTGTATCACACAATGTGAGCTTTCTTACTTTTAGGCAGTGCTTAAAACTGTATGATGGATATCTATCAGCGCCTTCTCCAGATTCAACACGCCTCTTACAAAACATAACAGCTTTTTCATACAAGAAAAGGTGTCGCTGCATGGGCTTGAATCTTGCAAAATCCTTCATTTTTGTAGCACCTTTCCGGTGTCCTAGCCAAACACTGAATGCACCTTGCAGAATCATCTTGCCCAGCTCATTCAGATTCCCCTAGAATGAAAAATCAAAACCAATTCAGAGAAAACAGAGCTATATCCATGTGTCAGACATTGACATCGTAGTTTTTAGTTTGACCTCCTACTACTCTGAAGCATGTTTTGCCTACTTTATTTCTTTCAGATCATTACATAAGACTTTATTGCTGAGGACTTGTCACATTTGGTCACAGGAAATGAATAAATCAATCTCATACTGCCCTGCATGGTTTACCCCTTACAGGCTAACTTTCATAGTACTAAAAGGTACTATGCAGGCTGCTAGGTGGGTAGTCAGTTATCATTCACCAGCAGTGAACCAGGTGAGACACAATAATGGCCAAGATGGCAGAATAGTGGAATGAATTTCTTTTTTGTCCTTTATTTTCTTTTATTGAAAATAGAATTTTTCATACAATATATTCTGATTACAGTTACCACTCCCCAAATTCCTCTTAGGTCCTCCCCCACCTTCCCTCTCAGCCAGATTCACACCCTCGCTGTTACTCCTTAGAAAACAAACCAATAATAAAATAAAATGAACTAAATTACAATAAACAAACTGGAATAGGATGAACCAAACAGGAGAAAAAGAACCAAAGAAAAAACACAAGAAACACATGGAGATGCAGAGACATACATGTTTGTACACACAGGAATCCCATAAAAATACAAAACCAGGAGCCATAATACATACACAAAGAACTTGTAAAATTTTTTTAAAATGTCTTGACAAAACATTACGGGACAAAGAACCTCCATCTGCCCCCTATGGCAATCAGGAAAGAGAACTCTGTACCTCCCCAGGGCAAAACATTAGAGCTGGCCTGATGCTGTGAGTGTGAGGACCTGGATCTGAAGGCCTCATAGCAAGAACTGACCTGGTTCCTTATTGTAAGCTGTATTAGGTAAGCTAACCAAGGCAGAGCTGGAGGGCTTGCTCTGGTAGCGATGATGAGGGAAAGCTAGCAGACTGACCACTCCAGCCATCACCCAGGCAGGCCCAGAACCAGGTCTATGAGTTGGCCCATCCCAGCAACCACCAAATCTATGAACTGTTGGAGCATGTGAAAGGGATGAACCTACAGATCCAAAACAGCAGGATCCCTACACACAGGACAACAAGAAGATACCCAAGAAGAGCCCTCGTGAAAGCCATTATCAGTGGTGTAGCAGAAGCCAGAGGCCTCTAGCCAGACCAATGCTCACAGCAATGAACACTTGCAAGTAAAGATGAACAGACTAAAGGGCACACTGTGTGACTCAACGGGCCACACTCAGCTTCTCTTGTTGTTGCTATTTTTATTTTTGTTTTTTTATTTGTTTGGTTTTTCTTTTAAATTTGGTTTTGTTTGGGGGGGAGACTACAAGGGCAGAGGGAGGACTCAAGGGGACAGGGAGAGAAGTTGGATCAGAATGATGTGAAATCCACAAAGAATCAAGAGAAGTAAAATCTTTTTAAAGTTTTGAAACTGTTCACTGTAACCATAACTTTTTACTTTGAAACACACAATGTCTCGCATACATTTAAAATTGCTATGAAGGTGCCACATAAAAGAACCTTCCTTTTTGTTGGCTTCTTGGCATTTGCCATGTGGACTTATTTCAGCTGGAGCAATGCTCATATCTCTTCCTCACTCTTGATTAATTACCTCACTCATGATAAATTACCACCTTCTGGATGGAGCAGTTCTGGGGAAAGGTGGCAAGCCCTGAAGAGTTGAGCCTTTTTATTCATATCTACTCCAGACTAGGGAAAGTATCAGTTCTGGGACAGAGAGTCTGCTTAACTGACTCAAGGTTCAGACTTGAAGGCAGGCTGCTACAGACCAGGAAAATGTCATCGGATTCCATTTGGCTGCTCATCTGCACCCAATCCTCTACTTAGCTTACCAATAATAATGCTTATACTTTTATTTTCATTTGTCTGCCTCCTATGTTATTTTCCAATTGAATCCAAAAGATGAAAAGGGATTCTGGTAAGTCTACCCTCTAAAACTCCAACAATCATTAAAGTTTACTTACAATATAGCCATTGATTGCAATCTGATGCATGGAGTCATTTACTGACTTCAATAAGTCCAGCATTGTATCAAGTGCCTCCTTTAACTGAGTTGTTCCTTCTCCTTCTTTGCTGTACTTTAAGAGCTCCTATGAGTAGAAGTCAAGAATTAAACAATATTAGTCACATATTAAAAACTTCTGGAAAAATTAATTATTTGAAGCTAATATGCGTTTGAGCAGTAATCCAAAGATAATGTCATTTTTAGAGTAATTTCTTTCATATTGTCTGTCACATTAACATATTTAATAACAATGTCAAAATTGGAGAAGTAGAATAATAATTCTAGAGTATAAAACAAAGAGCATCCATTCAATGCTTTTATAGCTAAAAAACAATAGTTATAAAAACACATCAGAGATTACACAGAAGATTCTTCTTCTACATACAATGATTTGTCACTCATAATGCATATAGCATCATGAAACACATTTTAAAAGAATCTATGTTGGATTTGTACATAACGTAGATTCTACTAATCCTTTTCCATTAAACTAGGGGAGTGTCATTTGCATTTTTCATTGAAAGGGCCAATAGGAAACATAATCTTAAAATTAATAAGTATATATTTCGACCTTAATATAAAAATTCTTTAAAAAATATTATGCTTAAAAATGAATAGAACTTATATGGAGGATGAAGATCTCCTTATACTCATAACTTAATCACCTTGTGATTGTCATTTGTATATCACCATGAAAAAGCACAATGCAAAAAAACTTAAACCTAAAGTTCATCTTCTTCAACCTATTGCTAATGCTTCCTAGTCAATCACTTCCTCACAGATGACTACTAGATTTGATTCCAAAAATAACGTTAAGGAGGGTCTAAAAAGATAGCTCACTGATTAAAAGCACTGGTTGCTCTTGCAGAAGACCTGGGTTCTATAACTCTGATGCCATCTTCTGACCTCCATGGGTACCAGGCAGACACATGCTACACATATAGACATGCAAAGTACTCATACACATAAAATAATTTTTAAAGTAAAGAAACAAGAAAATGCTTCGTGTAATTACCTTTAAAAGCAGCTGATACTTAGTGATTCGTTGCACTGGTTTGAGCAAATAGGAATCCAGACCAAGTCGATGTTTTAATTTTCTTTGACATTCCTGTCATTAAAAGATAATGATCAGCTGGGTACAGTATTAGACACCTTTAATCCCAGCACTCCAGAGCCAAAGGCAGGCAGATTTCTGTGAGTTTGACGCTAGCCTGGTCTACATAGCAAGCTCCAAGTCAGCCAAAACTGCACAATAGAGAGACCCTGTCTCAAAAAAAGATAATCAATAAATGTTAAATTAAGAAATGTACAGGGGTACAAGTGACAAGCAAAATATGTATGAAAATTCCATATAGAATGCTTACTTTGTAAGCTTATTTTTAAAGTAATTTATTTTTAAAAGACATATACCAAGGCTGGAGAGATGGGTCAGAAGTAAAAGCACTTGCTGCTCTTCCGGAAGACCAAGGTTCAGTTCCCTGCACCTGTGCCCACACAGTGATTCACAATCATTCATAACACTAGTTCTAAGGAATCCAATACATGGTGTGTGTGTTTGTGTGTGTGTGTGTGTGTGTGTGTGTGTGTGTGCTGGCAAAATACTCATACATAAAATCTTTAAATAATTTTAATGAATAAAAATACATGTTCCTGAAAAATGTCAAATGTCAAGTGCTCATTGATTAGACCCCAGACCTGAATCTTTCTTACCTCTTAAGGAACATGTATCAGGAAAATCACAAAGGAGGGAGGGGGGTAAGGGGAAGAGGAATGGAAGGAAGGAAGGATGGATGGATGGATGGATGGATGAATGGATGGATTTGGAAGGTAGAAATTTACAGCATTTCAAAGTCTAAAAGATTGCCACGTATAAATTCACATTGGTATAAACTGCATCAAATTTGAGAAAGCAGGAAATGACAATAGGTTAGAGTGATTAAAACATTCTTCAATCTGTCCAGGAAAATTAACAAAAGACCACTCTACAGGCAAAGGCCCAGAAAAGAAATAGGTTGTGCTAAATATAAATCTGACTGAGTATGAGAACAGAATATTTTTTAAGATCACAAGAAAAATACAGACTTCATCAACTGGTGCTGTATTTCATTCAGTAACTGGCTTGCTGCCACTATAAATATAGGGGCTATGACATTGGGTCCTGGGAACAGTGTAGGGACCATAGTTAATAGAAGATGGGGGTAGTTAGGATGAATGTGCATATGGAAAATGCATAACACAAAATGACTGGAAAGAGGATATACCTGAATAAGATACAGGGCCTTCCACTAAATGTGAAAAAAATTCTGCACATAATTTAATTCAAATAAAAATAAACAATCAACAATTAAATTTGATAGTCTGATACAAGCCATTTTGTTCTCCTTCATAAAACCCAATTAGAAAAATAAAATACATTTTTCTCAAGACAAAAATATAATTGAGGAGGAAGAAAATATTTGCAAAACTTAAAAACTAAAAGTCAATTCACACATGGTATATGATTACAAGTTGAGAGAACTGTTTGCTAAAAACAGTTCAGATTTTATGTTAGAGAATGCCCCACGCCTTTCTCAAAGAAATACCCGTAACTCAGAAAGAGAAAAGTTCAAAATATTTATGAAATCAATACCAACAACTGTTGATGAGGATATGGGCCAATTAGAACTCATTCACTCTAGTAGTAATGGAAAACTGCAGTCACTATAGAAAACAGTCCAACAGCTAGCCATTAAACATAAGCAAGCATGATGGAGCAGATGGATCTTTGTGAGTTCAAGGCTGAGCTGGTCTATATAATGCATTCCAGGCTAGTTAAGGATATATGGTAAGATCCTGTTCTACATTAAATATATAAAATATGACCCATTTTATTCCTAGGTGTATAGCCAAAAGAAAAAGAAATTGTTTAAATTTTTTTGTGTTGTCTGTTTGGTTACATTAGAGACAAGTATGTGAAATTCTGATTCAAAGTTTCTTGTGTGTTTCTGGATTTATTGAGAATGGTCCTCAGTCTTAGATTGCTTGTCTCTGGTTGTTTTCCTTTGGTGTGCTCGTGAGAGATGGGGGAAGTTTGCTAATACATCTATCATTATACTCTCTCTTCCGCAGCTTAGATCTTCCAGACTGCTGTTCAATAGCAACATAACTGGCTGATACTATGCTTGAGGAAAAGGACATGCGTTTCAAAGTTGTTAGATATATAGATATGGTGGATCACAACCACTTCTAATTCCAGTCCTAAAGAATATGAAACCCTCTTCTGGCCTTTGAGGGAACTACATACACCTGGTATACAAACATGCATCCAGAAAAAACACATACATTATAAAATAATAAAATTTGTAAAATATTACATAATAGCTATGTTAAACAAAAGATAGAAATAAGTCAAATGCCCATCAACTAATGACCATATGAATCAACTGTGATCTATCTATTCAGCAAAATATTCAAGCAGAAAAAGAATAAAGTATTACTATAAACAATAGTATTAAGCTCAAAAATATTACGTAAAATAAGTGATTCCCAACCTGTGGGTCACGACCCTGTTGTAACTTGAATATCAGATATTTTACATTACAACTCATAATAGTAGCAAAATTACAGTTATAAAGTAGCAACAAAAATAATTTTATGGTTGGAGGTCATCACAACAAGAGGAACTGTATAAAGGATCACAATACTGGGAAGCATGAGAACCACTGTGTTAAGAAGCCACATTAAAAACACCATAAAGTGGATGCTTTTGCTTATATAAAATTCTCAGAATAGGTTAACCCACTAAAACAGAAATCTGATTAATAGCTAAATGTTAGTTGAATGGATTAGGAGAATTCAGTAAGTCAGTGAATAAGAGGAAATGATAAAAAGGTAAAAGGTTGCATAAATCCTTTTTTTCTTTTCTTTTTTGTTGGGGGGAGTCTTTGTCCATTAGTTGGTTGCTAATATTTGTTTGTTTTCAAAGGTAGGATCACTATGTAGCCCAGGCATGACTCTAACTCAAGATCCTTCTTCCTCAGACCTGTCAGTGCTAGAATAACAAGTGTATGCTACCACAACTGACTTTAGGGAGGGAACTTTTAATAGTAAAAATGTTCTGAAATTGATTGGGTTGATAACCATTTTACAATCTAATGAATATAGTTAAACTACTGAATTATATACTTTAGAGCAGTGGTTCTCATGACCATTGGAAAACACAAACATTTACATTATATTTCATAATAGTAGCAAAATTATACTTAGGAAATAGCAACAAAAATTTGGTTGGGAATCACCACAACATGAGGAATTGTATTAATGGGTCTCAGCATTAGAAAGGTTAAGAACCACTGCTTTAAAGGAATAGATTTTATAGTATCTTATTTGCATAATAATAAATCTGTTACCAAAACCAATATTGAATGCACATTAAAATCTAAAACAAAAAATGTAAACGCTGCACTAAGCACAACTGAGTCACACACACTCACGTGTACACACACACACACACACACAGCAGAAGAATGATTCTCTATAAAAGTAAACCAGAGGGCCTCTGGACCAAGGTATATAAGGTTAAACTAATTTGAGAATACTATATTGAAAACAAGGAAAAGGGCCGGATATCTTAAACATCTAACAACTTTGAAACTCACGTCCTTTTCCTCAAGCACAATTGCAGCCAATTATGTTTCTATTGAGCAGCAGTCTCGAAGATCTAAGCAGCAGAAGAGAAAGTACCTAAAGATAGATGTATTAGCAAAATCCCCCATCTCTCACGAGCACACCAAAGGAAACAACCAGAGACAAGCAATCCAAGACTGAGAACCATTCTCAGTAAACTCAGAAACACACAAGAAACTCTGAATCAGATTTCATGTACTTGTCCCTAATGTAAATAAACAATTAACAGACATTTCAGGAAAGCATCCAAGGTGAGTAGCAAGTGCTAATAAAGAAAAAGAACAGAAAAGCGATTTAAATGCAGTTGGAACCATGCAGAGAGACTAAAACTACTTTAAAAGGAAAATCTATTATTATGTTCCTAAAGATAATTGAAAAGAAGTTCTGGAACAAAAATCAGGATTCCATTAAAAGTAACTCAGAGAGTACAGAAAACTGTTAACTGACAGACATACCAGTGTGAAAACTGATATGGAAGTTCCTGAAATAACTAAAACGATGGCCAGGATGATAGCTCAGTTGCTAATATACCTGCAAGCATGAAGAACTGAATTAGATGCCCCACCACCTGCATTTAAAAAATTTAAAAACAAAGATGTGCTTAGTGACTTGCAGCATTTATGTACTTATAATCACAACACTAAAGAGGAGATAGGCACATCTCTGATGTTTGGTGGCCAGTTAGCCCACCGTACTTAGCTTGTTCCAAACCAATCAGAGACTCTGTCTCAAAAAACCAAGGATAAATCTCACCCAAGGCACATATGCGTATGTGTATGTACGCATGCATGTGCACACACAGGCATACGTGCATCTGCAAACACATGAACATACACACATACACATATTTTTAAAAATTGAAACCAAAACTACTATATGACCCAGCTATGTCACCCCTAGGACTCCAACTCAGCATACTAGTTCTATGGAATAATCTTTTGTACACTGTGAAGATGTGTCACTCAGATTGGTTTAATAAAAAAAGCTAAATGATCAATAGCTAGACAGGATTTTCAGGGCAGAGAGAATGCTGGGAAGAAGAAGGACAGAGTCACCAGCCAGATGCAGTGTTGTGCTTTCCTGTCGCTTTAAGGGACAAGCCACGCCCACTTTCATTACCTCTGACCTGCCTGCCGCCATCTTGGGCCCTTCCTTTTCTGCTTCCTTGACTTACGTGCGTGCTTTTTATTATAAGGAAGACCTGGCTTTTCCAGACCCAGGCCAGCTGGTCTTGGTGAGTTCCCAATAGAACATCCCCATTGTCTAAGTGTGTGGGTGCACCCCTCACGGTCCTGAGTTCCTTGCTCGTGCTCTCTCTCCTTCTGCTCCTGATTTGGACCTTGAGATTTCAGTCCTGTGCTCCAATGTGGGTCTCTGTCTCTATCTCCTTTCATCGCTTGCTGGGATAAAACCGGACTCTCTGAACATAGCAGACAATGAGGA